TACAATAACTTTTGAAGAAATTTTTTCTTTAAATGCATTTAGTAGTGTATTTCTAACAGATAAAAGGTTTGGATGTGAACCTGACCGCGCAACTTCACCCTTCACAACTGACCAAATACCTTCAATAGGTTGCAATTCGCAATGGTAAGGAGGGGTATAATTAACTTCGTGTTCATATTGTTCTGCAATTTTAACATAAGAAAATGGAACCTTTTCTTTGTTTATTTTAACCAGTTCCAAAAGTTCCGGTCTTTTTAATTCATCAGAAAAAACAACATCATGTGCATTTAACCAATCAATAATTTCTTGCTTTTTTGCACTTGAAGTTGGTATATATTCAGCCTGTTATTTATGATAGCTTGCCCCATCCATGTGAATACATACAGATTTATATTTCTCATGTAATGTTTTGCAAAAGGTTAAAAAAAGATCCTCAAAAATTTCTGCATTAAAATTCCCATGGTAATCCATTTGATTGAGAACAATATTGGCATTTTTGATAACATTAGAAACATCATTCCATTCTTCAGCATTATTTCTTTTTCGTCTCTGGTTTCCTGATGGTTTAATTGTTGGATCCTAAATATGAACAGAATTTGGAACCAGTTCACCATGTATTTTGTTACTAGACCCGTTTCGGAAAACAATAATTACTTTAAAAATTACTATTAACGGACTATGCCCAGATGCTAAAACAACACCATGGTGAGGAATCCATGTATCACAAGTATTATGATGTAAATGGTAGTATGATTCGTCGAGAAAAACTTCTGGACGGTGTGAAACATCATTATTGCCTTCCAAATTAGCAAAATGAAAATGAAGATAACGGCTACAGAACGCAATATTATTTGACGACTCATAGAGGAGATTTCTACGTTCTTCCTGACCATAATAAAAACCCAGCTAGTGTAGTACTCGAAGAAGCTTCCATTTAGAAAAGTCATAACCTTTTTCAGCAAGAAATTGTTGTAAGGTATGTGTGGAAAGTTGTTCAGCCGTTTTGTTAGCATTTAGAATTTTCGTACGCAAAAGTACTGAAACATTTTCATCAGGTTGCAATTTGGGTCGACCAAGAGTTTTATGCAGCGTAAAATTATTATCACCGCGCTTGTTCCAGTCTGCCACCACCACTCCAACTGTACTTTCCGATATTCCCAATGCCTCAGCAACACGCTTGCGTAATGTGACCTTCTGATGGTCCTCTGTTTTAAAGCTAATCCACGAAAAATAATTATGAACGGAGATTACCATTAACTTTTCGTTATCAGTTAATGGTGCGCCGCTTCATTTCATGAAGGGACTATGGGTATTAGAGTAAAAGAACCATAATGAAAATTTTTTTTCGAAATGGTTCTAATATATATATTTATTTCAGCCTACCTTATTTCAGCCGTTTGGTATTTTTCTTGGCGTAAATTCTTTCCTCTTTGGATGAGATACGAATCTTTTTGCACCGGCCCATAATAATGATAAGGCGCAAATAATATGACACTTCATTTGCCATAATGTTTGAGTAGATTTATCGTTATATTCTTACAATACTAAAGTCTAGAAATTCAATCACTGATTAAGACTCTTGTAGATGTTAAAAATTTAACTTTCTGCTGAAGAAAGTCAAAAGCGAACACTCCACTTGCCATCACATTAGTGATGAGATACTAGACTCATAAATAAGAGGATCTTGGGCCACAACCTGTTCTTCAGACCAATAATCGCCTGTCTTCTCATTTTCAAACTTTCATGCTTTATTAAAGGGTGAAATAAAGGCATCCAAAAGGTCTGCTAATTCTTCTTTGACACTGGGATCAAGAAATTTGAAGAAATTTAATCCAAAGTGTGCAAAAGGGTGTTGTTGTTCTTTAAGTTTTTGGCGCTTGGACTTGCGGATTGGTGGAACCTCTCTGAGTTGTCCCTAGAATCCGAGTTGCCAATATAAAGTGATGTATTGCTCTCCATGATCTTTGAGATCTGATTTTCGAAAAACGAACTGTGAAGTTAATTTGGATAAACCAGACTCTGGATAGCTCTTGTCTGCATTCCGGTCACTTGATGCATAGTTCTTCACTTGAACGAGGATATAGGAGTATCGGTCTTTTGCTAGTTTTACAGGGATCATAATGTCTGCACCAGGATTATTACGCTTAAGAATCACAGCACATCGTCGTTAATAATATTCTTTCAAAAAACGTGTCTTGGAAACATATGTTATGGGGATGAAGTGTGTAAAAGCCACAGTTGCATCCTCAAAATGTTGTAGGTTATCAACTGCAGCAGGATCCAGTAATTCCATTAATTGTTTGACTGTGATAGCAATTGATTTTCACTGTTTCTTTTCCTATATAGATCTCACTGCGAGAATTAGGATAATTCACGCCACCACTTCTCCACGAGGGCCAGCGTCTACGAATCCCTTTTTAAGTATCTCATTGAATCTTTGAAGAACAAAAACCAACGTCTCGTTATCAGTAATAGCAGATAACGCTACTTCTGCTAATAAAGGTTCCGAAGGATAACGAACTAACAACTCCCTGTCACGTGATACTGCAATACATGTTGCCATATAGGATGCCACAAGATCAGAGGCGATCTTTGATTGCGGTGAAATATCCAAACAAACGAGCACAGATAAAACAGCAATACTGGACATCTCCTCACTGTCTTTGAAAGAAGATGCTCCACCAAAGAGTTTAATCTTCAATAGTGAAACAAGTCCTGTAAAGGATGTTTGAGTCGAGAAGGAACCTTTCTGTTTGACATCAAAATAGCTGTATATTAATGGTCTTCCTAGCCTTGCCAATTGAATCATCTGGTCCTCTTCAGACGTTCCTGCTGAATCTTTTGTCTTTCCTTCAAAGATATCCATCGTTGTAAGTCAAATAAATGGATGAAATAATTCAAATTCCAGCTTGTCCTTTCTTGTAGATGGGTCTGCTGATGAGGGTGGTGTGAAATTGGAAATTTTGCTGAGCGTGTCCAAAAAGAGGACAAAGAAGCCATTCCAGTTGATTTGTCTTATAGCTCTTCTAAACAATCAGAATTTACTGCAACCATCGTCTTGCACAGAACTAATGAGGGATCGAGCTTCGTCAATGCATAAGAGAATCTTGACTTTATTGTCGGGATTATCTGAGAATGGAAATTTATTCCTGTTGAGGTTTGCATCCTTCCGGTCAACCTTCTCCCAGTCTTGACTGCTTGCTAAGACCTCTGTCCAGAATTTCTTGTACCACTCGTAATCCAGTTGCAGTTTCCAGAGGTTCTCAGCTGATTCATTAAGGGAATGTTCATGTAGGTTTTTAATCGCATGCCAAAGAATATACATGAAGCGCCATTCCTCTCCATCTGGGATCTGTCCCAGCCTATCAAAGATCTCTGGTGCGTAAGGTGTAGCAGGTGGGTATCTGGTACTTTCTTTAAGGCGTAGACACACATATAGCGTAGGGATTCTCATTGCAATCTGCTCAACAAGGCGAGTTTTCCCGTATCCAGAACTCTGAAAGAGCGTTCCATAAGGTATGTGATCTGTCTGATTAGCAAACCAATATGCATGTTTCTTATTAATGTAGTCCTGAAATAGTTCGACTATGTTCAATGGATCCTTGTACGATATTTTAAAAGCCTCTACGAAAGCCTGGTTTTGCTGGCGGAGTGCAACTGTAGTGTGTTTCTCTTTTTGTGTATCCTTTGCTAAAGAATGCACGGAAAAAGGAGAAGAAACGCCAATTAGTCATTATCATAAGCGATACTGTGACCCTAACGCATGTCATAATACATTCGAACTATTCTCTCCATATAACCTAGCTCCTCCATCATTTACTAAGCTCTATTCTACATTCCTCCTAATACGTGTGTTCCAACTATTCTCTCTTCGTTACCGCTCTATGAACCACATAATGTCTCTATGACCCAGTTCTGCCCCAACTAATAACGCCCAACTGCCTCTCTTGCAATATAGCACAAACTCAGTAACAGTATTCGAACTCTTCTCCCCGTTGCTCCTCTATCCTCCCAACAAACGTGTGTTGCTTACCTTGCTTATCAAGTGTTTCTAGATATTCGTCATAGCAGTCTGTGATTGCTGCGGGGTGGTCGCTACGGTATGTATAAAAGAACTTCTTATATCCTTCGTATGCGTCTTCAACCTCCTTCCAAGTTGCTTCTCGATGATAGTCTTCTTTGTATTTAACGGCATATTTAGCACCAAAGTCCTATGGGCTCAGTGGGTCTACGTTCATAGCAGCCATGTCGATGTTTTTCGTGAATAATAATGGTAATAAAAGAAGAGAGCGATCCAGCTTTACGCCGCCCAACTCAGCCCTGTTTATACGTTTTACTTACACAAACATATGATACTTCTCCATATTGAAGCGCCGAATCAACTATAGGTGCCAGGTCCAGCCCAGTTAGTAAATAGATCGAGAACCACTCCATGCCTTTATCAGAATAAAGACAAAAGGAAAAATCTCTTTTATACGCTTCTTTGCATATCACGTTATGGAACAATGTTTCGTATTATCGTACGACTAGTCCGAGGGCCTATATTCTTTGTTTGCTAGCACATTGTCTCTCAATTGTCACACAATATAAGTGCTAACCATACTAGTTATACTGTCATAAAGAACAACAATGACGTTCAAGATGTGATTTATGAGTTTGAAGTAATCTTTGTTTTGTTGTCAAAGAAAAAAAGGGTTCAGAGGTAAATCAAACAGTTTTTGTCTAGACTTTTAATAAAAGCTATTAATTTGAGTCTGCCTTTTATGACGCATGAGTTTACTATAAAAACTGCAAGACCGTCAGAATCTCTCTTCTTTATACCCAACAATCATCAATTTAAATTGATCGCAAAATCAATCATAAAAGCTATCTGATCACTTAAACAATTTGAAAATGCCCACTTTCACCAGCGAATTTTATTGTGGATTACTGATCGGAATTCTCCTTAGTTTCCTGCTTTATTATAAATTCCACAAAAACAAACTTTACGACATAAACCAAAAAATCGATAGAATAATCGATTTAATCGAGCCTAAAAAAGGCATAATAATAAATCAAGTAAACAATTCGGCGAACAAAGTTACTTGCCAGACGTCGGCAAACTGTGAAAGAACTTTAAAAACTTGTTTGACAAAAAGGTCAGGCTGGATCTGAAATTTTCATTTAATCAAATGGTAATTGAAATCCACGAGTTATGCGAAGGAAAAGGCGTTGCAGCCTCCATGTTGAAAAAATTTTACAAACGAAAACGAATCTGAGGAAGAGCACATTAAATGCTATCGAAGAATAGATTGATAACAATAAAGAAATAGATGACAGTGACAATATTATTAATAGTAACGATAATAAAGAAGATAATGAAATTTAAATTTACACTAGAGTGACCAAAGAATAGGTTATACTCATTAATGGCTTTGGGTCTGAGTATTTTCCTCCCATGTAATCACTCTGGTACTTTTACTATTATTTATATTTCAAGAGCGCGTATTCAATAATCGAAATAATAAAATTTATACTTACGAATTATTTTTACATTGTTTGACTCTTTAATTGCATTGTGTCAAAGTAGTGACGTGGCCAAAGCTCAATAAATGCACCTAAAAAGTTCTTTATCAACAAGTCAAAAACTATAAGGAATATTAAACTGCTTTCCTTTACCTGTCTTCTAATTTTCATTTTTTTCTTAGTTCATCATAAGTTGGTGGTAATGTTCGTTTATAGTTTACTATTTTTCGTTCTTCTTGGTAAATTTCATAAGTGATTTTTTCTTGATCTAGATATTCCTGGAGTGTTTTAGTATCATTAATTTTAAAAACATAAGGTGCAATTTTCTCTTCTTGAGCTTTCTTTAGGATACTTCTAATGGTGCTGTAATTCTTTGGTTCCATAGTGAATTTAATGTAAATTAGTTTCATATTAATATTTTTTATATAGTAATAGGGATAATCCTATATTAATCACATTATGGTTTATATTTATCACATTCTGGTATGATAAAGTGAAAATTAAAATTAACAAGTCCATAAGTTATGAATGAGCACCATTATTACTTTTCCAGTCACACTGGTCAATTTTACAGCCACATCATCATCAGCCTCTCATTTATGAAATGTTCACTTTGTCTGGTTTTGTTGCAGTCTGCCCCATATATATAATTAAAAAAGAAAATGTATTTATAAATTAAATTTTAATACTATTATAATTTATTAACATTATATTATACTAATTTTAAAAATTTTAATTAAAAAATAAATTAATATTTTATTAAATAAAAAACAAAAATTGAGAAGTAACAAATTGTTAATAACAAGAAAAGAAAATATACCAAATTATCAAAAAAATATTACAGATGTATTTAGAATACCTAGTATAATAATATAAAGCATTTTGAAATTTTACCAAAAGTACTTGTAATAGTTGTAATAGAAATAATAATTAATGAGAAAAAAAATTGTATATATAATTTTTTATGTAATTAATGATGAGTTATTGTAATCAATCTTTTACTAAAAAAAATTACTTGAATATTTAAAGAGATATTATGGAAATAAAAATATTAGAAGTTGATAAAATTTTGTTTTATGGATTATGCAGAAACCGAAATTGTTCTTTTAGATATAAAAAAAAGGTATCTTACAAATATCAATTTTAAAAATTTATTCAACAAATTTGTTTCGTAATTTGTCATTATCTACTTTATCTATTTATCATGAGAATGTAATTTACTTTTAATGTTTTTAATATATTTGCTTATTAAATTATATTTATTTTAATAGCCTAGTTATTATGGTCCTAAAGACGCAGAGATTTTAACAAATTTATTTTTAAACAAATATTTTAACATTTGAAGCAAGTAAAACTCTAAAGCCAATTGATTAATTGCATTTAGTATTATTTCCAAAAGTAATTGTACAAGATTTTAATGGAAAATTATCATGCTACATTGTATATAACGATCAGACTCTTTTTTTTTTTATATCCAATCAATTTCGTCAAAACTTATCGAACACCCTTCGGGGATGTTCAATCATTAATTCAAACCAGTGTCCAAGCCTTACGTGGCTGAACAGCAGCTGACTTAGCACATGTCAATACAAAATAATCCTTTATTATTTACCATTTTTTCATGGACAATTTCTGGGGAATGATGCATTATTTTTTTTGAGCTAACCATTTTAAAATGTGGATAGGTCATTTTTTTTTTTGGTTTTAGAATAGTTCTTCCTAATTAAGTTAATTGTTCCATGGTAAATGAGCGAATCAATAGTGGCTCTATGTATTACGCAATTATGAATAGAAGTAGAAAGTATTTGAATGCCTTATTTACCTACCATTCCTTTCGCTTCAAAATTTTTTTCCTTTCATTAAAAATTTTTTAATTATGGCTACATATAAGCAAAAGCCAAGGATTCAACATCATGTAGCGAATCATTCGGAGGAGCTTTCCGGTTCGGAACAGGACTGGGTAATGTTTAATAGTGCACGTGCCTCTAACCAACCTATTGAACGTAGACTAGTTAACAATGTTAGTGACGATGAGGATTGGCACGTCCTTAGCGATAATACAAATCCCGTGGAGGAGAGTATACCCTCCTTAGAAAGCAACTCTGAATTTGCTAGCGGTGGGAGTGACTACGATTCTGAACCTTATTATGTTCTGGACCAAACTGCTCGCTCGATAGAGTTACTTCCAGAAGTTCAAGGCAATTCTCCATCACAAATGCCTTCACATGATGGAACGGGAAAGTTTTTTGATACTAAACTTTCCGATGAATCAAATCACGTTTCAACGACAAACCTCGCAGATTCCGATTTATTATCGACACATGATGGTATGCGTTTGCTTGTTGTCAATGTACGTTTTAGCCAAATCCCCGTCGAAACTGATGAATTGACAATTAATTTTAGATCTAGATAATGAACCAATGGTTAGCGATCGGAACAGATCTGTTAACTTGGATATGACATCCCAAGATAATGAAAGTATTCGACCTATGGGAAGTGTTATTAAAGAAACTTGGATGTCTAAAGTTCGTAATGTTTTTCGAATTGAAGAAGAGGTTGTTTCGGCGATTAATTCTCAAGAACAAGCTCAATCAAATCAGATTTATCATAAATTTGCCGAATCGGCCTCATCTGCAGCCAAATTCGAGCTTGGTGATTTAGGAAATGTAAGGATGTTTTGTAAAAGTTATGACGCACTTTTTGACTTTTTTTTTTACTAATTTTATATTCATGCCGATCCTCACATCTTCATATTTTATTAACAAGACGAATCCTATTAAATCTCTTGCTAATGTTGGTGATGAAAACGCTAATTCTACAACATACACAACAGTTACGACTCAATACATTGATACATTTCAAAATAAAACTTCTCAGGCTAACCATTCGGAAAAACTGCCAGTGACTCGTCATTTTGATTCATCGTCACCTGCGACTTCGACATCTTCCATACATAGATCTAATGATTTTGATGGTTCATTTACCGAAAAACATGCTTCTATTATCACTAGGTTTGGTAATGGATTGATCGTTCCAAAAGACCCAATTGACATGAATTTTGCACCTACAATCTCTAAAGACATGTTAAACGAAATGATAATGAACGAAAATTCTCACAGGTATATTGATCGTAAATTCGTGTCAATTAAGATTTCTCAATGAGAAAATGCGTTTACTTATTCTTTATTTTATCTAGTGCCGATCATCAAAACCAACACTCGACAACCTCACGGTCGAATAAAAATTCACTTTTATCAACGGTTTGGACAACTTTTCGCCGAATAACCAATAATATCATCATATCGGATGATACAGATCCAGCTCATGGTGAATTGTCTCAGATTACAAAATTCGCTTCATCAAATTATAATAATGGTTTGGCTTCTATAATTACAGGAACAGGAGAAAATCATTACACCTATGATTCATGCCATTTTCCTTTTGGAAATCATTTAGCTTTATCCGATCTTTGCCCTTCCTTACATAATTATACTAGTTCATCATCCACACCTTCTACGCCATCATATAATAAGAGAAGAAATTCCATTACAACTTCATCTAATACTGCAAGAATCTTTCTCACTCCTGTTTCAAGTTCGACGAGTCTAAAAAGTTTTACAAGTCGCGCCGGAAGTGACTGTGGATTGGAAAGTAGAGGTGTTCGAAGGGGCAAAACTATAGAAGCTCCTCTTGTTCTTTAATTTTTATTAAAAATAGAAACATAGTAGATAACTGCATATACACGTTTCTTTGATCATCATATTAACAAATATGAAATATCTTTATTTTATTTTTGACAACCCATATATATATATATGGTTTAATGTTATTTTGTATTATAGATTTAAATAATATTGATTAAATTTTTTACTTTATTATTGTAATTAATTCTTTGAAATTAAAATCTTGAATAGTTAATTTTAATTATATAATAACATTTGAAATACTACTTTCCTAATTGATATAATTAATTTTTTCCAAAAGTTTATATTATTTATAATCAACATCATGAAGTTGCACTTCGAGAGCTTTCTAAATAAGGTCATTGGTTGGAGGAACTTTATAAACCATTAACGAAGATATTATAAAGTTCTTCGCTAAAGGAGATCTGGAACATAAGTTTTTTTAATGAAAACTCGCTTCTGATTTTTTAAAAAAATAATATTTCTTGATCTTTTTTAACGATTTCGTCTTATGATGATAAAAATTATTTCAAAGTAATTTGATTCACGTAAAAGATTAAAAAATGTCATTACTATCTTGTATTACGTGTATCTCTCCCTTTCTCAATAAATTACAAAGTATCTCGATGAGATTCACTGATTTATCAATGAATAGAATAGAAAAGATTGGGATTTTTTCTTAGCGAAAGTTTTAAAACCAAGATCGTGATAAATAAGCGATCTAGATTTTGATAAGTCATTCGCTAATACATTTAGTTAATGTATTCTTTTTTCCAAAGACATGATGAATACCATATCATAGATAAAATTTTGTCACCTTTATTACACATCATTACTTTAAATGACGACTTGTTAATTCTTTTGATGTTATGTTTTCGTATTTTCATAATTTACTCACAAAATTTATTACTTTTTTAAATTCAGTTCAATTAATCTCCACCCATTCTTAATTTTCTTTATCTTTTGCCATCTACCTAATCTGTGCTCTTGTCCTACACCAACTAAGAGAAATGTTTTTTCGTCAATTACAGGTGTTACAAATTGTAATGAATTTATAAATCCTATCATTGCTATTTGTGTTAAGGGAACAAAAGATTTAATATTATTCGTAATCTTCCATAATCGAATATTGCCATCCCATGAACCAGAAGCAAATAAATCGGAATATCTAATTGTAGTTAATGATATTATCCAATATGCTAAAGGTATTGTACCTTCACTTTCTGATTCATAAGACTGTGTGCCATGTGCCAAATGATATACAAATATCGGTTTCTTTTTGTTAATATTCCATAAAGATATTGTGCTATAAATTGGATAAATTTGTATTATGAATTAATAAATACTTTGGATTGTTTTCGATAATTATATAATATAAAATCATCTATCGTACCCACTATCACCACCAGAAAGGAAATTATCCTCGTCAATCATTGCCACAACGTCTATACTTCCTTCTTTAAATGATTGACTACCTTTCGTTGCAACCTTTGTATCACCACGAAAGATTAGCTGAGATTCTTCAACAACTTTAAACATCCTGCATGTTTTATCTCGGGCACCAACCGAAACACATCTTTCGCGTGAAAGTGTATCTATTGCCATAATTTGATCCTGGTGACCATATCTTCGATTTTGAAGAAATAAGTTAAATAACAATAACAAAATCAAAAGGTAATAAACGTGAGGAATGCTTACAGGGTATCGATGTAACATAATTCATCTATGTCCCATAATTTAATTGATCGATCAAACGAAGCACTATAAAGTTGATTAGTGCCTTTACGAAAAGCAAGACCCTATCGAAATAAGATATTAAATAAACTGTACCATCACAATTAGAGAATTAAAATAAGTGACAAAATATAATAATATTTCATACAGATATTGAATCCTTATGCTGTGTAAAACACTTTAATAACTTGTCCTCTTTAACAGACCATATGTTAATTTTTTTGTCCGCACCACCGCTTGCTAGATATTTACCATCTGAACTCATAGCCAATGATAAAACATGATGATTATGGCCATCAAAATTCTTTACTTCCTTTCGGCCTCCTGGAAATGTGTGCAATTTTTTTCCGGTTAACAAGTTCCCTAAAGGAAGCGATAAATAGGAAAAAAAAAAAATTATTTTAAGTATATGGGAAATTATTTGAATAATAATAATTTATGTTAATTTCTAAATTACATTTTATTATAGAAGCGTCTTTTGATCCCGTATAAAAGATTTGGCCATTTTCTGCTATAGCAACGCATGTAACTGTAAGTTCATGACGTCCAGATTTTATACTAGGATCCTCAATAGGAAAAGCAAACTAGAGAAAAGAAATAAAGATTAAATAAGCATCACATTTTCACGTTTAATAACAAAAACATATGAAAATATTTACCGTATCTGCTATTATACGATGAGCGCGACCTATTTGTTCTAACTGGTTTGTATAAATGATCCTTAACATAAATAATCTCAATGGGCTTAAAGGACAATATTTCTCCAAAATAATAAGTTACCGCATCCTTTTTGAGACGCTCTGCAATTAAATCTCGATCAATTTCTGCAGCATCAAATCCTACATCATCTATTACGACAAAATTTCATTAAAATAAATACGAAAATAAACACACATTTTAATAAAGGAAAAGTGTTAATTCATATCGTAGTTTACCTAATCCTTCCTTGACAGATTCTATATACTGCTTAGCAAGTCGTCTCCTTTTCTCTGCTGGAGTTTCCCTATTATCGAATTCATTTCCGTCACTTACTTCTTCCTTGTCACTATCCTTATCAAAGTCCATGTCATCAATACCACCAGGTCCAATGTCATCTTCACTACTTAATTTTTCTTTTTCCTGATCTATTTTTTTGTCAACTAGCTTCTTTTTATTTTGGTTCTTACTACCATTTGTATTATTTAATGACGAAGCTGGTATTATTTTTCCTTTTGCTTGAGGGATATTTCCTCCAGTTTGTGCCTTAATTTTTTTTCCATTTGAAGATATATCCGTCACAGGCTTGCGTTTTTTGGACTTTTGAGTAACAAAAAATGGATCCGAAGACATCTTTCTTTCCTAGTGAATTTAATGCGGGAAAAAAATTTTTTTTAATCGATCTAATATTTGTTGACACAAGTTAATAATCTTCACGAAATCACGTGATAGATAATTACATTAATGTCGCATCGACGCTAAATGATTTTGCCGCTTCAAAGATAAATTTTTTCGGGATGAAAAGATATCAGGTCTGAATAATGTTTTTCTTAACTCATCTTAGATCAGTTACGCAAATTTGTTTCTGTGATACCTGAAAGATGCAAAAAAGTGTTTCATCCCGGAACAGTGCACATAATTTATGTTTTACACTTTTAATGATTTCAACAAATATATTATTATCAATCGTTTCGCAATGAAAACTTCGGAACGTTTACCATTCATTACACATGGATTGGCATGCATGAGTTAAAAACATTTATTAAATTTTTTTTTCACTATAATGCACGAAAAAGAATAATAGACTGCAAGAACAATCCCACTATTTCCAAATTTTTTTTTTTTTTTTTTTTTTTGATATATTACTACAATTATTAAAAAAAAAACATGATACAATTATCTTAACATATATAATATCTTCTATCATCCAACCGTTAATATACAGTCTGAAGTCTTTGGACAAATATTTTTTGATATAACTTCATAACAACTGCGCCAAATCACATGGTAAAATATTTATTTGAAAGCCAAAAAGCCCAGGAGATTTTATTAAAGAAAAAATTAATAGGGAGTGCGTTCCCCATTTTTCTCAATTATAAGCTTACATCTCTCCTTCATTGAACTAACTAGACTTTTAATAATGTCTTGTGAAACTTTGACCATTCCTCCTCCATAAAATTTTCCAAATCCCCAATATTTTGTAGTTTCCGCATCTTCACGTTCCTTTTAAACTTAACGGTATTTAACCGGTTAAATTAATTTTGACCGATTTGAAATTTTACAATATATTTTTAATTGATAAAGCGTGAATATTGGTTGCTTATCCAGATTCATTTACCATGACAAAATGCGTTCTGTATATTAGAGAATAAAAAAATGTACAATTTTAACTAAAAGGTAGCATCTAAATTTTATTTTTATTGGCCGTTGTATTTTCGTGATATTAATGTTAATACTTTTAGTTTGTTACCTATTGATCATTCATTTGTTATTAGTGAATTTTATTATAGAATATAAAAACATTAAACAATTATGTATCAGTTTTCACATTGTTGAAAACTTTAGATAATGCATATTAAAAATGCATTTAACACTTTTTATTCCGTATTTATAGCAAAGTCTATTAGATAAAGTATTTTAAACATACGTTAATTTAATAATTTTAAAAACATAAATCACAACGTTTACTTACGTTAGTTGCCAAAAAGCCTACGTAGATCTTCATCATCAAGACCATGCTGATATATGTAGCTGTCGTTTTTCAACACTTCTAAATATACATATATCTTAAATTTACAAATGTTAAAGTATTAGTTAATTTCAAAAGATACAA